CTGACGAGAAGATCCATTTGAGACCTTGGGTTACTCCAAACTGTTGAAGTGATTTTGAGTCTAGATCTTTTACTACTTTCTTAAATTCTTTATTGGCTGCAACAAGTTGAGCTCCGTTGTCCGAGTATAGTTTTAATGGATAGCCTCTAATAGATACGAAATGTCTTAGTGCCATTAGGAATTTCTCGGTACTGTAATCAGGCGAAACATCTGCATGAACAGCTCTTGTTTCGAGACAATTGAATATTAATCCGTACGCTTTTCCCGTCGTTCTTTTCTTTACTTCATCTTTTATTTTGAATGGACCAAAAAAGTCGAGAGCTGTAGCATCCCATGCTGGTGCTGGTTTTAATCTTTCTATTGGTAGTTTACCCATTATCTGTTCGCACAGTTTTTTCTCCATTTTTCTACAGATAATGCAGTTCTTGATGTATTTAACCAGTTTCAGTAGTCTAATTATCCAGAATCTTGATCGAATTTTACTGGCTGTTGATAGTACACCAAGGTGTCCTCTTAGATGTATGTGTTCCGCATAGAGTTTTGAGAAACGATGTTCATAGGGTATCAATATGAGTTCCTGTTTGTTATAGCTCATTTCCACCCATCGCTGACTACGTCCTCCCACTATATATATTCCATCGTTACGTTTTCGAGGACAGAGGCGTTTATATTTTCCTTTTTTCAAGTCTTTGTGCATAATCTTCTGTGCTTGTAAAATCCAGAATCGTTCTGCGTTTGTAATATCTTCAGGTGTCAGTACTTTAGTTACATTCTTGAATGTAGTTCTCGGCATCTTCTGGTACATGGCCAGTACTCTTGCTGTCACTCTTAACTGCTTCTCAAAATTCAAATGATTATCAATGTTGATTCGCTTTTCCAGTGTATCTTCCCCAATATTGTTGACAATATTGATAGATGCCGGTACCTTGATAGTTTCCGGTAGTTTTTGCAGTGTTGTAGGTGTTTTAGTTATCGGCCACTCGCTTTCAGGTAGTTTGAGAAAGTCAGGTCCTGCCTGCCAGTCACTATTGACATCAATGTCGAGTGGTCTTTTACCACGTGTTAACCAATCAGCAATGTTATTTTTACTTTCAGTCCAGTACCAGTCATTCTTTTCAGTACCTTCTTGAATTTCTCCTACACGTGTTGCGGCGAACGTGTTGAATCCATGTTTCTTTATGTATCATAGCATGTACTATCTGGGAATCGACAATGTGGTAAAATCTTTGAAATTTATACCTGCACTGTTGTTGTAAAACGGGTTTACCATCTTTTGTTAAGTACAGCACCACAAAGTTCTATGCGATCAATTGACATCCTTTTGACTGGAGCTAGGCGATTCTTTGATAGAATGATGTAACTGACAAATTCTCGTGTTGATAATTCCCATCTGACGTAAGCACAAGCGCTGTAAGCATTGTTTGATCCGTCGCCAAATATGATCAGTATTGGGTCCCCTATTGCATTGTGTGGTTTGAGACATCGTTTGACTGTAATCTTTTCCATTTCAGGCAAGTCATCGAAAAATGTCATCCATTCTTTTCCGTATTCTTCTGGTATGGGATCGTCCCAATCCAGTTTTGTTTCATATGTCCACAGTTTTCTCATAAGTATTTAGCTCTTACCGTGTAACTAATAGTTAAGGGAGACAGCTATATAATAGCATGTTATAACACTGTGAGAAATAAATAATATACAGGTAACCCAATTCTGAGCATACATGCAACTCATCTGCCACTGGAAAGCAAAGAAATGCCTTTTAATATGGTACCTCTGAAACTCCGATATAAACAATACTGCCCATGAGGATTCAAATGAACACCATCAGACAAAAGGACTCTATGAGAAAGGGACTGCAGTTCCAAATGTTCCCAAACAAATGTGAACTGATGGTCTGTGATTCCAGCATGTTATTACACATGGTGGCCGTTTGGTTAAATTCCTCCTGAGGCAAACCAGGGAGTCTAATAGATCCCCGATTACAACTTCAGGGGATTGGAAACTAAGATTTGTCCCGATCTCAAGAATCATGACCCTAGAAAGCGGCCCGTTAGCAAATTAAAGGCGTAATTCCGGGGCTAATAGCAGGATGGTCAACCCACCGATGCCATAAAGAGAAATGTTGCAGTTTGACTTAGATGAAAATCTTTTGCAGCACAGTAATCAAATTTGCATTGTAAATCAGAGTGAAGCCTCCTTAAGAAAAGAATGACCCACGACAAGTACATTTGGGATAGGCAAGGCCATCGGACAAAAGCAAAATGGGGAAAATGGACAAGTTATAGATGTATTGATGGAACCGTTAGACCAATTGCTAGGCCTGACACCAATCAGTGTAATGGGCAGATGGGCAAAAGAGGGTCCATAAGAGTAAATATCAATGAGTTTCTTTACCAAACAGTACCATAGGCCATTTGTATGGCCCCACTGGTAAGGGAATATTTTTCTTTGCGTTTGGTTTGTTCAATGTCAATGCCAATTGGGTGAAATTCTAGTCAGCATGACAATCACAGTTTTAGACTCGCTGTAACTTAAAAAAAAGGAAATTCAAGTTTTTCAACAGATAAAAACAAGAGGGTCAGAAAGCATGAGCATACCTAATTCATGTGAGAGTTCAGTTCCTTTAAACTCTTATCTTGAACCCCCCCGCCCCACCCCCTCCAAAGGAAAAAAGTCATCTGGAGTGTCAAATGGGTCTCATTAGATGGATAACACCTAAGTGAACTATATGCATTGGAATGGCCCGATACACATCTTACATTTCAGCACATTTATAGTTGCTGAAAGAGAAAAACAGTCTCTCTTTACCATGATCAGCAACCAAGGGTTTTTAGAGTCATTTTTTTTGTATAGTCGAACCTCTCTAATACAGACACTGAAGGGACAGACCGAAGTGTCCATATAAAAGAGGTCATGCACTATGATGATGGTTTTTACTGGTTTTTAACTTCAAGAAAAGCAACTTTCTCCAAAATAATAAAAACTTGGCATATTGCCATGGGGACAAATATAACATAACTCAAAACTACTTTCACAGTTGATGACATCAAGCAGGCAGTTTTAAAGAGCTCCTGATACTTCTTTTCTTGTAACAGTCTCCCCACAAGAGCCATCATGGTGGATACTTGCTGCTGCTGTTGTTGTTGTAGTTGCATCATGTTCTGCATCATGTTTTGCATTATATTTTGCCTTGCAGCCTCTTGTTTCTGTTCCTTTTTTTAATATTCCATTTTCCTCCCAACGAAGCTCCTTTTCCATTTGTGCTTTCTCCCTTGGAAACTCAACAGCATCTCCACCACTTTCCTTCTCTGGACTTTGTTGTCTGTGTTGTCTTCCTCTTCTGATCTTTTCCTTGTTTCTCCATAACACTCCATCGCAACATCTCACATCTCCTCTGCTGTCTTGTCAGCATTTTTTTTCCAATTTACATTAGCTTGGCGAGCTTCCTCTGCCATTCTTTCCTGCTTGATTATCAAGCAAATTAAGGCATCAAGCTCACTTATTTCCTCTACTGTAATTTCACTAGCTGACTCCTCCTCTTTCATCTTTGCTTCATAATTTGTCTTCAGCCTTTCCATCCTCTCTCTGACACCACGCTGGTCAACTCTTCATTTTGGGTTTGTTATTAATTGTTTTTGTATTTGGTTTTATGTTGGCCTTTTCATGAGAGCGTGCCATGCAGGCCATTGAAAACTCATTGAAAAAAATATTGAAAACAGTTATACGGAAAACATTGGCTGAAAGGTAAACGTTGTAAATGGGTATTTAATCCTAAAAAGCGCTCGACCCTAACCCTAATCGGTGAAATGAAAGCTTAACCCTAATGAGTGCTCAACCCTAATCTGTAAATTTGCAGGTTTTACTTGTTTTATCTTAATTTTTGCCGATGGCTCGCGTGACTCGCATGTCTCGCTGGCTCTCAGTTTGCGAGGACCCGGTGAAATGTAAACAACGACATGTAGTTAGAAAACATTAAAGATATTTATTTACAAGTAAAAGACCGACGGTACAATCTTCTCTTTGACGAATAAAAACCACAATATTGTATAAAAGGAGAATGAAAGTTGTTTGATTGATGCAAAATACTAGTTACAGTACTAAGACGTTCAACACCGTGATTGTGCTCAGTGTAATAGCTTTCGATGATATAAAGCTACGGCAGCCTTAATAAATTGTCATTAGAGAAAGAAATAAACACTGTTCTTTAATTAAAATTGATAACTCGTTAATGTTCTCGTGCGAATGAAAAACTTGCGCAAACAATAGGTGTATGTTAAGTTCAAATTTATGCAATGTCCGCGCGTGTGATATGTCCAGCATTGAGAAGTGCAGTTCTAATATTCTCAGTAATAAGCCTGTTGACTGGCTCGGAAATTCGTTCTGCATATTCTTCTCGCGTGCATTGAGCATCCGCCGGCCAATGGACAATTTCATCGGTTGTTTTCTTAATAAAAACGCGCACCTTCTGAGTGCTTCGAGGGACGCGGAGTTCTTCAACACGCCCATACCATTTAATTGTTTGGGTGCAGTGATCATATTCTGGCTTCTGAACACTTCTCAAAGAGCGGGGGCTGAACACCTTGAAGGCTTGATAGGTAACCAGTCGTCCCGGAAAAAGTATGATGGTGGTAGAGATGTCGATCTCTGTTGGCTGTGCTCTCGGTTTCTCTGTAGCAGACTCAACAATAGCTTTAACGATTTCAGCAAACATTTCTTTCTGTGCATGTAGATATTCGAACGTAATCCACGGCTTTTATGTAGCAATCTTCAGAAATTTGCTCTGGTGGACTATGTGTTTGATCCTCCTCCAACATGGCAGTGATGAAGTAGCTAATGGTACTCAATGCCACAGCAACTCTTGTGACAAGATCAGTTCCTTTAGATTTGGGTGGTACTTCTCCGTTTTCGATCACAGTGTTGACCGCGTTCACATGATCGGTTTTAAGGCGCTTATGTAGCTGTGCGGCACCAGGATCCAATTTATAGGATCTGGTGACGTTCTAGTGGGCGGCGTAGATTGCTGCAAAGAGTGACACGAAATCTTGTAGGGGAAGGTCTGCTAGATAATGTGTTCCTTCTTCTTCTTTTTCCGGTGTCAGCTTTCGCGTGTTTGGAACAGTAATTAAGAAGCGATCTAGAAGACCGTGGCCTTTGTCCATTCTAAAAATTAGAATCGCTGCATTTTGGATCTGGGTTGAACCAAGAGCGGAGAATGCGGAGTTGGAATCAATTTCTCGCATAGCCTCTGTCGCGAAATGGTAGGATGCAGATTCTCCACTCCATAATTTGCATAGCAGCTGTACGTCACTAGTGGCGTTATCTTCGTCGTTTTTGAGGAGTTTGTTCAAAATATCAAATATTTCGGGGGAGACAACGACGGCTTTACCTTGCTTAGAAATGGTTTTCACAAGTCCGGACGATGTTGTGGTGCTGACAAGGGTCTCCTTTGAGATGGTGTCTATGTCTCGAAGTGTGGCCAGCACTGTCTCTATGGCAGGTGATTTTCCCGTTCCTGGATGACCAACTGACATGGTGTATAGGTTTAGTGGCTGAATGTGTTTTCCATTTAGGAAGTGGGCATCAGTATTTCCGAGGAGAAATGAGAATCATGGTACCAGATAACCAATGGAGCTGCCAACGGACTCAGCTTTTGCTTTTAAGAACTGGAAAACAGTCTCAGAAAATAGCTGGTCATAATTGTAATTTATTCCTGAAACTCGACGATGAAATGAAGCCCAGGTAGGGTCGTTTTGACGAGAAAGATGCAAGATAGGATTTGACATTTTGAACTGGTTGGTGTTAACACACGGATGAGCAGAAAGAGCAACGCGTTGAGGTTAGGATGAAACTTACAAACAACACTGGTTGTTTAAAAACAAAAGAAATTGGCGAGTGACGTCGTTTGAAGTGAGCGATTTAATTAGTATGTGTGTGAAATTTTTAGTTCATTGAAAATGAACCAATCTAAAGGTGAGACTTTTTGTCATATATTGAAAGGAGGAAAGCATTGGTTGAAACTTGATGAATGGAAGTTTCTAAGTAATATTTTAATTTATTAATAATGAAAGTTACATAGGCCAAGTTAACTGAAATTTCCAAGATAAATTGAAGTAGCGTGAAGACGAAAATGTTGCGGTGTGCAAGCAATGGAAAAGTATATCGAACTATTAGTGTTCAGGTTGGTTGTAGTAGAAACATGAAAGAAGTTGGTACTCAGTATTCAGGTGGAAAGGGAAGCTATCAGCGAAAAATATATGGTACTTCGCACTGGACGTATGATGAGGTGAAAGACAGAGTTCTCTGCAATAGAGAAACTGCAATTGGATGGTTAATGAATGAACGAATGATCGCCTCCAAACGCGCCTGCCCTGTTTGTGGTGAAAACATGGAGCTGGTAGAATGTACGGACCGATCAGACGGTTACAAGTGGGAGTGCAGAAAGTGAGTGAATAACAAGCGCCATAAAAGTACAGTCAGCATGCAGAAAGGAAGTTGGTTTGAACAGAGTAATCTTACCCTGGAAGAGATTATTAAGTTCACCTATTGGTGGTCGGAGGGACTGACGCAAGAGCAAATAAAGAAAGACCTGCCCATTAATGCCAACACAGCTGTCGACTGGGATATGTTTTGCAGAGAAACGTGAAGTGATCATCCCGAAAAAAAGTGAAAAGATTGGTTGTGAAGGGAAAGTGCTTCAAATTGGTGAAAGTAAGGTGGGAAAGCGAAAATACCATCGAGGGCACAGCGTTGAAGGACAATGGGTATTTGGCGGTATAGAAGAAGATTCAAGGAGATGTTTTTTGGTGGCAGTGGAAGATAGGAGTGAGGCAACACTTGCCTATCATAAAAGACTGGATCGAACCGGGAACATTAATTGTCTCTGACTTCTGGAAGTCATACCACAACTTAAATAAACATGGATATTCACATCAAACTGTGAACCATTCAAAGGAGTTTGTAAATAAAGACGGGTATAATAGTAACAAAATGGAAGTTCACTGGCGGCACATGAAATGAGTTTGCCTGTATTCGGCACTCGCAAGGACATGTACTCTTCCTATCTTGCCGAGTTTATTTGGCGGCATGTAAACAAAGAAAAAGACTTATTCGCCACGTTTTTAAATGATGTAAAAATTCTATACAGTCCGAATTAAGTTAAGGTGAGAAAAATAGGCATACATAACATACATGGCTCGTTGGCATGCATTTTTAAAGTTTTTGTTTCTTAGTTGAAAGTGAACCGAAGTGGTTTTCATGAACGTTTGCGAAAGTTGCGGAATCACCTTTTGTTCTGTAGTTATGTTTCGAAAAGTTGTTTCTCAGTTGAGTTACTGAAGTGTTTATTCATGAAAGTTAGAGAAAGTTGTGGTTTATTTCGGTTTTGAGCTGTAGTCTGTGAGACACCCGAAAAATGTTTTGTTCAAGAAATCTGCATGGTTGTGATAGTCATTTTGAAATGATGTTAATGACTCTAGAGGTTAGTGCTATAAAACTTCTAGT